TTCCGTTTTATACAGGTTACTACAATTAAAGAGGAATATATCAAGGGGGAGCGGGGAGATTCCGTAAAGACAGGTTCGACTGTATGTATGTATGCATGTGTATGTATGTATGTGTGTGTGCGTGTGTGTGTCTGTCTGTCATGTACGTATGTAACATCACAAGCCCAAAAGTAGACAAGCACCTGATTTCACCGCCTCGTGACACATTTATAAATAACAAATAAATAACACTTTCTTTCAACCAGTAACATATGTTATCAAACAGGAAGTTTATTCAGTGTTTTTTCTTCCTTATCTGCAGTACATGATGTATTTTGTATTTGTAACAATGATTAATTAATTCATAACATGTGGAGCCTTTACTTTACATAGCTCAAAGAAGTCAATGATTTCCTGGGTGGGTCAAAAATGTTTTAGCATAAAATCCAACCAAAGAAAGCACCCCCCCTCCCCCCCAGTACCCTCTCAAAGTTCAATACACACATTCATGGCATACAGATAAACACGAGGAGGGGAAAAATCAAACAAGGAACTTAAGAATAAAACACATGAAGATCAATTATTATTCATTATCCACAATAGCCCGTATACATGTGCATTTAGCTAATTGACTGCTGCCTTTGCATTTTCAAATTACATATATTTATAAGTATACATGAATACATGCATATATATATACAACATCCAAGGTAAAGATACTGTCATACATACAATGTAACCCTCATCACAATCTTTAGGTTAGTATTAGTGAGAGTTTTACAGCACTTGCAACACAAATAGAAGGTCAAATAAGTGCCTAAGATTACAGTATGGGGACCCTTACAGTATAGGTGTTCCAACAGAGTAACAGTTAAAATAAGGAGGAGAGTTAAGAACCAAAGGTGTTTGGTAGGAAAGAAGGAGCAGAGAATCCCCCCCCCCCCCTTTTTTTTTTGAAGACATGCATTTATCTCTCTCCCCTCTATTATTATCAATTCATGTATATTTTTAGGTCATTATTTAATCAAACATCTAAAAGTAAAAGTTTTCAGATAAAGTAGCCTATTATGTCCTCAACACTATTCTCCTCATCTAAAAAAAAATGTTACACCCAAACAAAACTGACCCAGGCAAGGTCTTTCCGATTTTCATTACATATATATACATGTGTGTGCATGTCAAATTTCTACTTTAAGTGACTGAATAAGTTTCTCCTTCTTTCCTTACATATATATGTGAATATGAGGAGTATAGAACCCCCCCCCCCCCCCCCCCCACAGACAAGACAATAAAATGGGCAACGTGACAAAATTAATTTTCAAAGCTAGTAAACTCAAAAACTTCATTCCTGTTGGACTTTTGGTTTATTTTTGTTCAATTTGCTATTCAACACACACAAGAAGAGGCCATAAATCTACAAGCTTTTATTAAACTCGATTTCCTCATAATTTCTATCTTGTGATTCTGTCCAATTTTTTTCTCACATGGACTCCTCATACGAAAGGACAGAAAATCACTGAGAGTGAGAGTAGAAATTTCACAGCAACATGAAAAGCTTCAGAAAATGTTTCAATAGAACTGGGGCTATCTACATCTCTTGAAAATAAAACATTTTTGAAGTCTAAAATAGTAGAAAAGTATGGTTGTGGAAGTGACAATAGTTGATACTGAAGAGACATATTTTGGTAGAGCCAAGACTATTACTATTTATTAAGAATGTACTCTTGCAAGGAACCGTACAAGGAAAGAGAAAGAGAGGAAGGCAGAGAAGGAGATGGGAGGACAACATTACAGAGTGGACAGGAAAGACGATGGGTGACAATCTGAGGAAAGCAGAGGACAAAAAAAGATGGCGAGAGCTGGTTTTCAGATGCAGTGGTGCCCCCACGGTTGCCCCAACCACGGGATAGAAGAAGAAGAAGAAAAAGTACTCTTCGAGTAGTAAGGAAAAGCACATTGACACAATAACAGTCAAAGTGCAGAGACGAAAGACAGACAAACCACAAGAAGGAAAAAAAAAGGGAGTAATACAAGGATCTACCAGGGGCACCTTCTAACCCCCCCCCCTCACTCACTCAGTGTCGAAGTCGAATGACTAGTGTTGAAAATGGGAATGAAACCCAGTGAGACACAAGTGGAGTTACTCCCCCTCACTGGCCTGGTATATTTGCAAAGTGAGAGAAAAAGATAATTCTCTTTGTATTCAGTTATAATCAAACACAATGCATAAGAATACAATGACAAATGTTCAAAAAAACACACTCACAATCACAAGGATGTCTATACTTTGGCTCAGTATACACATCCTTTGCCTTTAATATTCCTAGCACAGCAAGATAAAAGTTGATCATCAAACTTTGGGCAGTGTACAAAAACGTTAAAAAGAATTCACCCCAAGCCAACATTAGAAACTATTATCTCAACATTAAAAAGAAGTTTCTTCCAGAAGCATTAAAAAAAAAGACGCGCCACCCTTTACCTGGAACAAACTTCATATACTGCCGTAGGCCTGAGCTGATAAAACGCCTTTTTTTCCCTTATTCACTGGTTTTAAGACAAAGAGGTTTTCTTTGTCAACATAACCATTTTAAAAAAAGCGTTTCTTCTGAAATTTGAATTCAAATTTGTTTAAAAAACTAGTAACTAACACTAACAGTTTCACTTTGATTTTTTCACACATGTAGGGTAACTGATCAGGCTTTCAATTTAGCAAATAAAAACATTTGACACCAAAAATGAAAAAAAGCAACAAAAACCCCCCCACCATTTTTTGTCAGCTTACGGCAGCATAGATACCGGTTTTGAAGGTGAGATACATGAGTAAATAATCATCATGTATTGGAATTTGCTCAGACATCATTTGTGTGAAAATAATGACAGTTGACAGTCTCAAAATAGTCTACATGCAACCGACAATAATACGAGGCTGTGTATTTTTCTAGAGAAAAACCTATGTGTGTGTGAGTATGGGTGATGCGGGTGTGGTGAGTGAGTGAGTGTGTGTGTGATGGAATCATCCCCAAACTTTCTTGTTATCGTACTACACTTATCGAGTTACATGTAACATACGCTTTCAAGATTAGTGCTATTAGGATTAAGAACACCGTGACACCCCCCCCCCCACAAACAAGAAGTGGGATCAAAAGAAAAACACCATGAACAAGATTTTCAAAGGGTCTATTGCTCCTGCTATGTTTAACTTTTTTTGTTTTGGCAAGTGTTGAACGGCCCCCGCAACTTTATAAGGTCATATGAACTCAAGATTTATCTGCCCATCTATATTAAAACATAACATGATGCACTTTTTATAAAGAAAACATTCACTAGGAAAATATCAAATCCCCATTGACATTAGTAGAGGTTCCCCCACCCAGGGCAGTGCTACACTTACTGAAGCTGTCTTTAGGCAGTTCCCAAAGGGAGGTAGATATTAATATAATGTTCTCCTTTTTATCAATGTCATGCTCATATTAGGCCTGGGCAGGACTTGGACTTGGACTTGAGACTTGAAATTCTTGTGCCCATCAAGTAGTGTTTGGGACCAAGTATTTAGAACTGAGCAAGTCCAAGTCTTGGGTGGCCTAGCAAAATAGATCTATCCCTCAATCAAAAGATACAATTATTTTAACACACAGTAGATCTACAAACATTGAGTAAAGACTCAGTGAACCAATGTCTAAAGGAATGCTAAGAATTGGCATGTTTCTTATTAATTTAGTGGTTTAAGTTTGATTGTTTGAATTCAAATACACCTACCACCCCTACTACTTGCTCGGACTTGCTCGTCCTAGGCGGATTGGTTGAGTCCATTTCTTCGATAAGGGGTAGGCAGTACCACCCCTATTACTTGCTAGGATTTGCTCGCCCTTGGCGTATTGGTTGAGTCCACTTCCTCGATAAAGGGTAGGCAGGCCTAGGCCAGGATAATGCTTCAATGCCATCATTGCCATCCAAGGCTGAAGCAATTCCTGAGTTTATTAATACAACAGAGAACAGAACAAAAAACAAACAAGAAAAGAAAAAAAAATCAACCAAACAAGTATCACAAAGATGTTCCATACGTCTCAAAATAGATCTAGGTTGTTGGTTGGAGAACAACAAAATAATGATAACGATAAAGGGAAGTAATGCTGATGGCTTTACTATCAAAGAGACTAATACTATTCATGTTACATGTATACTTTATTACGTCCCCTGGACTTGAAATTGGGCTTGAGATTTGCGGGTCTCAAGGTTTGAGGACTTGAGACTTGAAAGTCCTATTTTTTTCAACTCTGCCCAAGCCTAGCTCATATACACAGTGCCGGAACAACATAAGGAGAACTGCTGCCTTTTTTTCCCTCATCCTGACTATCATCCTTTTTCCTCTACCTCTTTTGTATGTTTGTCACACTCTTGTGACCCAGTATTTCCGGGGCGCCTTGATAATTGAAGCAGACTTTGTGCTGTTGAGGCTAGAGAGGAGAGCATGAGTAGGCTTGATTCCCTGTTTGGACTTCTATGCTGACAACCACCCCTTGGCGCTCATATGACCTTAAGCAGTTGCGAGGGCTGTAAAACCTTACTAAAACTGAACTAAACTGACACTAGAGTTAGAGGCAAAAGTTCACTTGTAGCGTACATGAGGACAGTACAAATTCAACAGAACCACTGACGATGTTATGACATGTCTCCATATGAATGACGTCAAATAATACATCCAAACCTGTGCCTCCTCTCTACTGTACTCTACACCACAAGTTATCACTGCAAATGTTGCAATGTTCATCAAGACAATTCTATTTACAACATACTGAAAGCTCACAAAAAAAGCTTGCAGAATCGCTACGTCAGATCACAGATTTGAGTGCTTAACAAATAGTGTATGGTGCTGTCCGCAATGGTCAGCCCAACAAGGAGTACCTCCAAGCAACAAAATATAGAAGAATAGAAGGCAGATGGAATAATAATAAATGTGTGTAAAGAAAGCTTGGTAACAAAAAATCCCCCCAAAAACTCAATGATTCAATAACATTTTGTACATCAAAATCAACCCAGACAGAAGAAGAAAAAATTATTATTATGCTCTCAAACCAGGCAACGTGAAACAAGCATTAACCGAGAGAAAGCCCTGTTCCACCACACAAAAACTACTGACCGAATGTCCAAAATAACAGAAAATCCAACAACAAAACTTTCAACAAACTCAGAAGATAAATATACTTCACTTAACACACGTAACTCCCTTGCAATGTCTATGATGATGTTTAGTTCACGTATGTCTGAACTGTTCATGAATTTCAAGATATGAGCCTACCACATTCTTGCACCATCATTACTGCTGCTACTTTAGGGCCTAAAACTTTGTCCAAGAGAATGAAAGCACCGTGTAACACATAATGCCAAATTCACAAGTTCAACAAGTCCACTTTGAACACCAAATTTGAGCAGACACCTCTCTCTTGTGTCTGCTTTCTTGAATGCCCCGGTGTTCAAAGCATGAAACTATGACGAACCACTGCTCTCCATTTCCATCGAGTCGTTACCATTGTTGTTATTATTTCCAACGGGATCACCACTGCTAGAACTTGTGGTGTCGAGACCATTCCCATTAGCGCCATCGTGGTTACTACTGCCACTGGTATTGAGGCCGTTGCCGTTAGCACCACCACCATTATCACCACCCCCACCACTACTACTGGAACTTGTATCGAGACCACCATTGCCGTTAGCATCGTCATTGTTACCCCCACTACTGGCGCTGGCATTGAGGCCGTTTCCGTTGACACTGGGGTCATCATTGCCAGGGTGGACATTCTCGGCGGGCTGGTTCCCGCCCTCGCCACCTCCTTCTGCTGGCTGACCTGGGTCAGCGTTGGCCATCCACTCCGCTCCAGCGACCTCATTTTGAACATTACCGTCTTGAACAACGGCAGCATTTTGAACATTTACATCTTGCATGTCTGCATCATTTTGAACATTTAAGTCTTGAACATCTCCGCCAGGCCCCACCACAACCTGACCTTCGTAACCATCTCCGTCACCACCGCCTTCAAGGTCCCCGTCTGCCTCTCCCCCCATGTCTGCGTTGAGCACCGCATCCTCCCACAGAACCTCCTGCGCTATGTCCCCGTTGGGCCCGTTGTGCAAGGGGCTGTACTCCGAGCTGGCTGTTGTCCTTGAGGACGCCGACCCTGACCCTGATGTGTAGGAAGAGCTGTAGCTCCTCTCGCTGGCCGACTGACTCCGGCTGCTGCTGCTGCCACTGCCGCTAGACCTCTCGCCGTTCTCCGCCCTCGTGCTGCGGCCGTGGGACGCGGGGCTGTCCGTCGCTCTGCTCCCACCGCTAGCCGGCCTCTGCCAGGGCATCGGAAACGGGTCGCCCCCGTAGACGCCAGCCGGCCCGCAGCCCATTGCGTAGGCGTACTCCGCTTCGATGCTGTTGCCGTGGCTCGCGCCCCGGTGGGTAGACGGATCGTAGTAGTGATCCGAAGACATCCGTGGGTAGTTGACGTGGTCGTACATGTAGCTGGCGTAGGCTCCGCGTCGAATTCCGGTGAACTCATGCACGCAGGAACTGGGATCGTGACTGCCGCAGGCCGTGCAAATGCTCTTCGCCACCTCTACGTCCAGGCTGCTGTAGCTTTGTTTGTTGTCTGGCTTGGTAAACACAATCAGAGGCCGGCGGAAGCCTGTGACAAAAATCATAAAGCTGAGTTTTAGAACGAATGTAATCTTTCAGAATATAATAAATTAGTAAAAAAATTTCCTTAATAACAAAGTTGGGGCAAGCCAAGTTAAATCTACCACTACCATGTTCAGCCCAACACGAGACACTCGGTAAATTAAAAAAAAAAAGATTAACAAATTGTACAGAAAACCAGTGGCCTATCTTGGTAACTATGAGCCCTCGAGTAAAGCTTTTTTTACAAGAACGGGTAACAACATGGTGGAACCAGGCACTCGCCAATTTTCGGCACGTAGGGTGCCTGTTTGCCGGTTTCTTTGATTTAATTATTTCAATGAGCATTTGATTTCACTACGATGCCCCACATTTGTCAAAAAAGCAATATTAGATTTTTTTGGAGCTTCAAATCAAAGTTCACCAAAGTAACTACTGCTATTACAATAAATATCGAAATTAAATTTTTTTCACAACTAACTAGATCTAGAATCTTCAATTTTCAAACAAAATCTATTCAGATTTAGTATATACTGACAGATATATTCAAAAAGAAAAGTGCAGACAATATACTGGCACCAGAAGTGTATAGAAGAAGAAAAAAAGTTATTGTTACCTTTCGCTTTCGCAACGGGTACAGCTATGACTTCACACTTGACGAAGCCAATAGACAGGAGGTAGTGCTTGAACCCCTCTGGTTTTAACTTGATCGACAGATAGTGGTTGAACATATCGGGCTGGGGAGGGGAGAAAGTAGAATCGTAAATCAAACAATGAATATGATTATCAAAATACATCTTCATTGTCCAGATCCTGGCACATTGGTTTCGTGTTTCACCACGTACACACATCCGCGTAGAGTGCTTGCACTCACAAACAGACTTACAGTCACACGCATATGAACAGTAATATAAACAATAATAATGTGAAAGTGACTATTAAAAAAAATAAATTATGAGCTTTGTTCTAATTACTTGTATCCTGTCTGGAAAATTCATAATTTTTCTTCAGCATCGTCAATGCCGTTTAAGCATCGTCAAGCCTAGAGTGAGCAATACTGGTACTAGAAAACGGAGTATATTTTCTGATACAACAAAAACAGGACTAGTAGACCTAGACTCTAGATAGGGTTGGTGATTAAAATTATTTTTTTTAATTAAAAAAAAATTGATTTTTTTTTTCAAAAAAGATGTGGACCCAGACCATCAAAAATGTTTTTATCACCATGTTTTTATTGCACTCCAGTAGGCAGCTATAAATGCTATAACGATAATCCCACTCTTGGTCTGACGTGAACCTGCGTCTAACTACCTGCACCATCAGCTCAAGTAGGCACAGTCTTGTGGTCATACCGTCATTCCATATACAATGGTCAACACACTGATAGACTGACGTTACTTTTGAACATATACCAAAAGTTTCTGTGGATACCTATTAATTAACAAAGTAGGTTCTTGGTTTAAAAGGAGAGGAAAGTTGCCTTAAAAACTACCCCCCCCCCTCCCAGAAAAAAAGAGAAAGCCGACATACATCAACAAAATATAATAAGAAATGGTAAGGGACACGACTCTGGTTAACTTTTAAAGGCTCTTGAAAGCTTCGTTTTCATTTTTAAATTTACAAATATAGTCTTGAAAGTTCAGTTCATATTTTCCTCTAGCATAGGCAAGTCAAAGAGGAGCAATATTAGAAAACAGTACAATTTTCTGAACTCAGACGGTAAAAAATATTAAAACTAAAAAAAACCCCGTTTTTTATTGGTTGGCAAGCTAGGAGGCATAGATCTATAATTTTATATATGGGGGATGGGTGCGGAAGGGGGAAAGAATTACAGGGAAAACTTTCACATTGAAATATGTGAAGATCATACATACTGTAAGTTTTGCTCTTTTTCTGTACGTCGACCACGGCTGTGGTTCCAGGATCAGCCGTCCGCCGGGTCTGAGTTGACGGAAAATCTTGCGGAAGAACAACTTGACCCCGTGATCTCCGTTGTTGAGGTGAATCCACTTGGTTATGGACAGGGCCAAAATGGTGTCATACTCTTCTTTCTGGAGCTCAAGAATCTCTTCACTGGCAGGTACGTAATTCCCCTGGTGAATCCATCAAAAGTGAAAATAAGACACTTTAACACATTCTCTTTCAAAAGATCTCTAGCTTTTTTTTTTTGACTTGGAGGATTGGGGGGAGGGGAAGTGAAGAAAATATAACAAGATGCAACAAACGACATAAAGTCGCCAGCATTTCATGATCTGAAACGTTGCGAAAAGAACCCAGGTGGCTGTGAAGGTACTGCACAGTACTCTACTACACTGTGACTGTACCCTTTCACTTTCATAATACCATGCAGATTACTATTAATGAATGGTTATGATGTTACACAGTCAAGCCTGCTCCAGCAACCACCTCACCTGTCAAAGACAAACAAACCACCAGGAACTCGAGAATGGTATCAATTCGGTTTATAATTCAGCAGTAAATACAAAGTGTAACTACCCTGCTCCTACTGGCCACCACCCTTATTTATTTGGTATTTATTTTCAAAGTAGAAAAATAAATGACACTGACTGGGCAATCCTGGATATTCAAGAGGGAACATTGAAGTTGGGTTTTTGACAAAATGAAAGGAACAGACATTAAGAGTAGAAAACTACTTTTCTTTGACTGGTTATTTTTAGTAGGCTATGTAGATCTAGTTCTAGTGTATTTCAACTGCAAAGATAAGGCTATTCACTTGTCATGACAACAAAACATTTTTTACACACACTGGAAGTTCTTCCTAGACAGAAACCACAGCTTTATTTGAAAACTAAGACTAATACATTGGGCTACTTCGTCTACAGTGCAGCATGATATGTTTTGAAACATCAATTACTCACCTGCAGAAAGAGAACATTATTTGGGAACTGATCTGATGTGCCCATAAGTGGATGAGCCTCCAACGGACCTTTGGTTAATTCAAAGACAGCTGGATACTTTGATGAATCTTTTCGCCTCAAGCTCAGCATGTGTCTGATGTTCTGGCGTGCAGCTCTAATGAGCTTGCCATCAATGTCAATGCCTAGGATTTTGTTGGGTCGGAACTGCTCAGCAAGAGCTAATGTAATGTGGCCAACATTACAACCAATGTCAAGCACGTCTTTTCCTTGGAACCACGATGGACTGAAATGCTGAAGCCTTGGATCCGGAGCATGGTCTTTATTTCTGTAGCCATAATACCTGTTATAATTTCCATAAATAAACATAGGCTTCTCCGGAAACTTTTTGGGTTCATTTTGTGTTGCACACCTCCCTTTGCCACCACTGATTTGACGTTTGAATTTTCTTTCTGGACTCATACTTATTGATCTTGACCTTCTGCTTGCAGATGGCCCTGGTTTTGTTGGGGTTGTAATTTCAGACGAATTTTGCGCAGGACCAGATTCTGAGATTGGTAGCCTCGACTTGTCTCCATCTTGAACAACAGGAGTAGTATCTATACTAGATTCCATAGATTCATACGATACATTTGAACAGACAGTTGTTTCGGCCACAGTTTCGGATTGCATATCACCATCAGCTTTCCCTGAGTTCTGTTTCTCATGCTTTTTCTTTGACCGATGGCGCTTTTTAATTGTCGCGTCCAACATCTTGTCGAGCACACGCTGGTCATGTTTTCCTTCAAGATTCAAGGGGTCCTCAATGTTAGGTGGTACTCTAACATAAACAAGTTTCCTGAATTCCGGAGTCGGCAGGGGTGAACTTTCTGGGGTTTTCATGTTGAGCAGTCTCCCTTCTTCGCTGTGGGCTAGCCCGTTCAAATTCAAAGGATCTCCGGCATCACCACCTAACAGCTCCCATTTTGGCATGTGATCTTTCCTTGGTCGGAAGTCCACTGATCCTAATCTTTTCCTCTTGTGCCCTAAATCCTTCTCATGAGGTCTTCCAGTCCCAGAACCAACAGAAAATCTTCTTTTCCTTAATTTTGGAGGCTCTGGCAATCCATCAATCTTCAAGTTTTTTTCCAGCAAAGCATTGTTCCGTCTTAATTCCCTTATTTCCTTGTTGACAGCCCTTGATTTAGGATACACAGTTTTACCTTGACTTGTCCACAAAGATTTACTTTTAAAGCGTTTTTGACTATCACCTCTTTGAGATGGTGTTGGTTCTGATTCATAATCCCTATCCTCCTGAATAGATTCATCTTCAGACATCGCACCACTGTGTTTAGGAAGGGCTGGTATGTTCTTATTATATTCACTTGTGTTGGGTTTCACGAAAGACACAACGGCGTCTGCAGTATTAGGTTCCCCAGACTGCTGTACTTGGTCTTTGTTGACAACTGCTGACCCAACACTACTGTCATTTTGGTTTTTATTTTCATTTCCGAGAGAACTTGATCTATTGCGTGGTGACCGAGTTTGAGTCTGCTGGGAGCTTGAACCACCGCCACCCTCCTGTGGTTTCTCTTTATATCCGTCTCCTTGATTTGCTGATTGAGTTTCCATTACTGAACATCTAGAAAACAGTCACATCCAGACTAGGCCTACACAAACGCCTTCCCAGCACAGCTCACGTCAGTGGATCGACAGAACGTGAATAGAACGACAGAGCAATGTGATCGAAGGAGTAAACATAAATACACGCACGCCACCTGGTGGTGTTTTCGTCCACGAGTTTTTTAATGTAAACACTGCTGCAAAATTCAAACCTCCAGTCTTCAGAGAGCCTCAAAAGACAAAAAGCAAATAGAAATAACTAAACAGTGACGTATTATTGTCATTAAACAAAATACACTGGCACGAATGATCCTCAGAAAGAACACAGCTGAAAACAATTCTCCAGAGGTTTTCGTGCTTCCTCGCCAGCCATCAGCCAACAACTGTTGGGCGCATGCGTAGGTTTAGCATTGTGGGATGAACGCTTCCGTCGAATTTCAGTGTGTATCGTCTGCTAGGCCTAGGCTAGCTTGCTTGGGACCTAGGCTAGAGATTGGAATTGGAGATCTTGATCTAGATCTAGTCTTTAGGCTATGAACTTTTGAGACCGTGTACAAAGAAAACTCCGAATTTCGTCTGGACACAGTACACAACAGGCGAAGGTGCATGGTTTGGTTTTGTGTGCATATCTATATAATGTTATATTGTTTGTGTGAAAATGGTGTTGACCTTTGCATCAATTGACGCTTCAACACAAGACAGAGTCAAAGTGAAGTACCGTGATCACCCACGCCAGTCGGTAAGACACGGGATGATGAATATTTCTTCTTCTAGAAGTTCGGTATCTGTCATATATTTGGCCGTCCTGCTCAGTTCATCTATCGGCGGCCCGTAAGCCTAGATCTAGATGTATAGCTTCTCCTGTAGTGCCAGTGTGGGGTTGGCCATGTTTCCTGTCTCATGGACCTGGTGTGTCTTGCAGTGCTGAAAGATGTCCTCGTCTCCTGGCACTACAAGACGATGGAAGGCCCTCCAGTTGCTGGGAAAAGCCCCTTCGAGGCTTGGGGCCTAGCCCTGCTCCTGCCTGGTGGGTCCTCTCAGGGCGAGCACCTAGAAATCTAGATCTAGAATCTATAAGGCTCTACTCTATATATATCTGTTTGTTGTACCGACTTAAGTTAAAGTGTCATTTTTGCAGTGTTACGTTGTATTGTGGTTCTCTCTAGAGTGCTCCTTGCGGCCCAATACCTCAGATTTCAGCACTCCAGCTCCGGGTCCTAGGACCTACCCTTGGAGCACAGGCAGGAATTGTTACCGGATCCCACCCGTAGCTAGGACTTAATGCAGTCTTAATAGTGCTCCCGTCATCGGACTCAATAGGGCATTTTAGTGACGTTGTACAGCCACCTTAACCACCTCACCCCGTCCTGGTAAGAGCATCGCCAGTTAGTCCGGGGCTGCTTTTTCAAAATATTCACAGCTAACCACCATTACAGTCACCGTTCCCTTTCCGCCACCTGGAACCCGTCGTTTAGGGGATGGTTTCCCTTTGCCCGGCAGGATAGTTGAATTTAAAAAAAAAGAAAACAATGAAAGCCAGAGGACAAGCCCAGGCCTGTCGAGAGGGGGGTCAGGGGGGTGCCAATGCCCGGGGGTTTGGGGGGCCCGCAAGCAAGGGGAAAAGAGAGAGAAAGAGAGAGAGAGAAAGAGAGTGAGTGAGAGAGAGAGAGAGAGAGAAAAGCACCACACAAAGCTTTGAAATAAAATATATTTTGGCTGCAAGTTGAGCTGTATATCTTTTTCTTCTTTTTTTTTTGGTAAGTTTTACGGCGCTCGCAACTGCATAAGGTTATATGAGCGCGTACCGTGGAACACATATCTAATACTTCTAGTTGGTAGGAAATTTTGAATTTTGCCTGGGTGGCGGCCGAAGCCTACTCATATCAATTTTAGACCACCATGGGATCTTTAACGTGTACAACTTGCACACGGGCCCTCCGAGATTTCTTGCTCTTGTCCGAGAAGGCTAGGTGTAGATCTTTCTTACCAGAAGATCAGGGGTGTGGCAGAAAGACAATTGTAAGAAGGAGTCAAGGAGTAGCAGTAGAAAGGCTGCAGAAAGAGTCAGGAGCCCGGAGGAGGGGGGCAAAGGAGGTGAGGGAGGGTGGGGGGCAGAAAGAGGAGACGAAAGCAGACGACAGAATATTGCTAGAGAGCAGGAAAGGAGGTGAAAGGATACAATTTTAGAGGAGAAAATTTTTCGGTCGCTACCTGGATTCGAACCCGGGACTTTTGAATGAGAGGCGAACACCTTAACCTCTAGACCATGAGAGCCTCCGCTGTATATGTATCTGACAACTTCACAGAACTTTGGTAGTGCTTTCTTGGACTTCTGGAATTGATTGGCCATTACGATCCTCTCCTTGCAGAGCATACAAAAGTTGAAAAATCACAAAAAGAAAAAAGGGGCCTACAAATTCACTATCTATCATCAGAAAGTCAAAATGAATTCATCCAATGCTGTGCATTAAAAGTGACAGACGTGATTTTGAATGAAAGAGCGGAAACGATATTACTCCACTATCGTTGATGCAAAACACCAGACTCTTCACACATCTAACAAACTGTTTTTATTTTGCGTTTTGTTCACTTGGACAGTGATACAAATGTCTACAAAGTAGAAGAGAGATTTCTGAAATGTGTAGATTGTAACAAGAAAACAGGAGAGGACATTGCTAAAATTATCCTTGATACACTGAATTAAAAAAAACAAAACATTCCAATTACAGACTGCCGAGGCCAAGGCTACGACAACGGTAGCAACATGTGTGGTCTGTATAATGATGCACAGGATCACATTTTAAGACAGTGCTCACTTGCCACATACTCTTCCTGTGGCTGTCATAGTTTGAATTTGTTTAGTGTGCATTCTGCAGAAAGCTGTTCAACAATCATAACTTTCTTTGAAGTTGTACAGAAGCTGTGTATAACATTTTTAGCTCCAGTCCACAAAGGTGGGAAATTTTGAAGCAAAACATTCCCAGCTCTTTGCACAGTATGTCTCAGACACGTTGGTCAGCACGTGTTGACAGTGTCAGGCCATATGCGGCTCACATCGGGGGACTGAGGAAAGCTGTTCAAACTGTTCTTCAAATGAACCTCCCCTCAGAAACACGTTCAGATTTGATTGGTATTCTTAAGTACTTTGCATCATTTGAATGTGTTATAATGGCATCTGTTTGGCTCAAAATCCTCACAGCAATTGATCACAGAAATAGAGTGCTTCAAGCACGAGAAGCAACTCTTGACGTTGAGGTGGCAAATATCAATAGTCTGATTAAAGATCTGTAAAGCCTATGAGATGAATGGGACGCAATCTTGAGTGAGTCCAAATTAGTAGCAGATGAGATTGAGCATTCATTTGCTGAAACAGCAAAATGACAAAAGAAAAGGAAGCTTTTTGCAGACGAGACAGAAGATGTAACAGACTACCAAAATCCTGAGAACAAATTCAAACATGAAGTTTTTTTATGTCCTCATTGACTGCCTTCTTGGAAATTTGACGACAAGGTGTAATGCTGTAACAAAACTCAATTCATTATTTAGTGTCTTGTGGAAATATCCCCAAGAGGAAGTCGGCGTTATTTGTGATCTTGCAAACAAATTGCACACGGAATATGCAGTGGATGCATCAGCAGACCTTGCGCAAGAGTTGAAACATTTGAAAGTGATTCATTCAGCGAACATTGTAGAAGATGTCCAGCCGCCTCTTCAGTTGCTGAACAGACTTCATTCCCTGAAACGGGATGCTTTGTTTCCGAACGTTGTAATCATGTTGAGAATCTTCTGCACCTTGCCTGTCACAGTTGCGCAAGCTGAACGTTCCTTCAATATCCTTTCTCGGGTGAAAAAACATTTTGCGTCAAGACAGACTCTCAAGTCTTGGAATTTTGACCATAGAGTATGATAGAGGCCAGTCTAGCGTGAAAATTGGACTACGAACCAATAATTGACAGTTTTGCTAGAGCTAAATCCTGTAAGGCTCCGTTGTTGTAAGAAAAAATGGTATGCTGCATTACAATTTATTTTAATTTCTGTCATTGGTTTATTCATCTTAACTTCATTTTTAACTATCTGGTAAATCAGAAAAAAAAAAATTTTTTTTATGTTGACAACACCCAGCAGGTGATGGAGGGGGACGAGACAAAGGAGGCTGGGGTGTGTGTGTCCGGGGGGAGGGGGGGGGGGGTTAGCTTTTATATGAACATCTCTTTCGCAAAATGCATTTCCAAGGGTAGTGAAGTTGTGTGTCTAAGAGACAGGCAGACAGAGAGAGAGAGAGAGAGAGAGAGAGAGAGAGAGAGAGAGAGAGAGAGAGGGAGGGAGGGAGGGAGAGAGAGAGAGAGAGTTGGTATGTAATAGATACGCTACAATAAAGTGATTATATATGCCTATGTACATTGTATTTGTTGGGTTATTAAATTGCAGGTGAGGGTGGGTGGGGCAGGGGGGAGGAGGGGCCCAAAGGTGATTGCTGCCCCAGGGCCCGACCAGGCTCTCAACGGCCGTGGACATGCCCTCCCTTTGAACGATATAATTGTATGTCAAAGCCAGCTCACCCAGGAATAATTTTCTGTTACTTCTGGAAAATTTCGAAGGAAATAGGCTTATGATCCTTGAGGGTGAAATGTTTGATTTACTGTACTAGACCTCAGTTTTTGGTTTGCATAAAAGCTTTTCATTGGGTGTATGCAGTATAATATATTCTACAGGAATGGGATGGGGATTTTAAATGCAAGTATTGATTGACCCAATTGGGTTTTAGATAATTTGAGAAGCAGGTTTAACTCAATACAGAAGAAGAGAGCATTCATTGACCAAAACCAGGAAGGACAAGATCAGATACTTAAGTGGTCATACAGAGACACAGTAGGAACAACACCAGTCCTCTGACATTATATTGAACAACAGAAAATTGAATGATTCGGCCACCTCTCAAGAATGCTCTGAAACCAACCAGCATTATTGCGAGCCTGCAACATTAAATAATCTGGCTGGAGGAACAGAGGGAGACAGATATATTAAGATGTAATTGGACCGACTCTGTAAAGGACACCCCCAGAGCCCATGATCTGACGTATCCTTTCCAAGTCACTTTACTCGGAGCTGACAGACGATTCGCTGCTTCAGAATTACAAAGATCTATCTGCTCCCTACCTATATATCTAGTTTGGAGAAATTTCACGTCAATTTTTTTGCGTTTCACAACATGTCAAGCTTTTTCAAATGTATTTCTTTTACTATCTTGATAACGACTATTATTCTTATGATTTTGATAAAGCAAATAGAACGTTTGCTTTCTGACTTCATGGTCTTAGTAACTCAAAAGGACCAAAAATGTCAGATAGAACTTTGTAATTGTGAGGTAGCGAATTGTTTCTCCCCGTGACACCCACTCTGCCGTGATTTATTAGCGAACAAAATGCTTTTTAAAAAATTCACAGCAGTTTTGAGAAAAGAGGGGTTTTTTTTGTCAGCGCAACCATTGGAAAATAGAGTTCTTCCGAAATTAGAATTTTTGAATTTATTAAAAAACTGGTCATAGTTTTGCTTTGAGTTTTTCAAACAAGTGGGGTAACTGATCAGGTGTTCGATTCAGCAAATAAAAAATTTTGGCCCCAAAATGAAAAAAAGGCATTTTGTCAGCTTACAGCAGCACTGGTACTACCTTGAAGAAAAAGTAAAACAAGGAAAGTGGAAATTGCTTCAACTCATCTGTTTTCAGTGGCTAGTAGTACGGGAGTACCGTTTACGTACTATAAACACTTGAGATAACAGAGAGACTGGATCAAAAACCTCAATCTCCTCCTGAGAATTAAACCCTCATCTTATGCATGCTGTGGCGAAGAACTAAACTGTTACCCTGCATATTATGCTGGTTTACATGGTGTTCATGGGTAGTGTATGAGTGTGCTTGTGTATGTGTATGACTAAATTCATTTGTGTAGATGTTTGTGTGTAGTGTGTATCTCTGTGTGCATACTTCATGCTTATCTGTGTTTGTGTATGATGAGCTAGTTTTTCCTGTGCATGCGATGTTTCAAATTTAAATGCTGTGTATACTTAAGTAATAATTGGTAACTGTCTTTAAACTTAGACAATGTATTATTTGTTTGATATTTCACAGATTGTTCTTTCAAGTCTGGTAAACTGGTTGGGTGAAAAGATTTCTGCTATGTCTGGAACAGAAGCTGAAGACACCGTTAACACTACTCCTATTGACACAAAGGTATTACTTAAAGAGAAGTTAGGAGCTAGAATACATTCCTGATTTTTGATTTGATTGTTTCTAAAATGTAAAATGTAAATGGAGTAAATGTATGCTAATCACTGAATCATGATGTAATGTTATCAGTATAAAGAACATATGAAATTTATCTTTGACAGTTATGCATGCAAGATACATTTTCCTAAATGAAGGCGTCTGTAGGCTCTGTGTAGTCAGTGATTTAAGTGCAGTGTAATTTTATCATGTCTCAACAAAATAGATTGACCAGCACTTTTTGCTGCTTTGTCAAAGGAATAAAAAAATGTATTGATGTTGACTTTGTCTTTGTTCTATTTCCTCAGAAAACTGCTGACAAGAAAAAAAATGGCAAAATGAAACCCATTTTTGCTGTTCCGAAAGTAACTACAGGAGCAGTTAACAAATCTTTGTCTATGAATGAAAAGGTCAATATCATGCACTATTCAAAATATTCCCTGGAAAGATGCGTATATAATATTGATATCTTTCACATCTGTGCACAAAATGTATTATTACATTTACCATTTTGATGTTATGTGAGGTACTACGGTGTAACTGATTTCACCCTTGAGGTAATCATTTTACAAAATGAAATCAAGTTTGTTTCTCCCTGAACGGGTTGGGTATAAGTGTTGTTTCTGACTCTTGTCTTTAAACGATTTGTAGAAAAAGTATCTTAATATTATCATTAAGGGCCACTGGTTTAAAGACAGAATGCAAAGGCAGTTTCACTGGAAATAAAAATATTTTTGTTTTATAATTGTGAAGAAAAATCGTTAATGCGTAAGAAAGTGCTTTGAAAATAATGCTAATTGGAAACGACAAGAGATTAGATGCATCATTAAGATAGATAGTTAGTGGTTAGTTTCCCATGTGTCTGCATCTTTTCCTTATTTTACAAAAGATTTTCTTGTATTGTAGTTCATTCATCATAATATCATGGTCTTGTTTTTTGTACTTTTTTAATTCAATTATTTTTGTTGGTTTTTTTAAAAACAATTCTCTATATATCCAGTTTAACGTTTTTGACTTTGAATAATAATACATTTTTGTGTTTTCTTATACTTATAGACTTCGCAGAAGAAAGTTACCAAAACACAGAGAGAAACGTCAGGGGACAACTGTAAAAAATTAACAGAAAACATCAGTCATTCGAAAGGTAAGCCACTTTTAGTTTCACATATTAGTGTCTTTTTCCGAGAAAGAAAGAAGGAGTAGGAGTGAAAAAGAAAGAGAAAACATGAGCAAGTGTGTGTATGTGATGTTTGGAGCATGAGAAAGAGAAAGATAAAAATGTTTTGTTTAGCCAGCATAATCCTGTGTTCTTTTAAATCTAGGTGTGATTAAAATGTACACTATCTACACACAGCATCATACTGGGGAATTAAAGGGCAGAGAAAAATGACGCTGAATTTACTGCTGCTAGTGAAGTTATTGAAAAAGCCACAACGCGGCCCTCAAACTGCAGCTTAAAAATCACCCCTCTATCTATATATACTTTTGGACAGGTAACTGTGCTCCCTTCATTATTGTTTAGTTTGTGAGAGCAAGCCTAAAGCTGGCAACCAATACGTAAAAAACATATTTAGCATGTTTTTGGGGTCTGAGTTTGGAAGTCTGTTTTTGTAGCAGAAAATGCGGATTATTTCTTTCTAGTATTGCTCCTCAAAGGTTTTCTTTTGCTGAAGAAAAATTGTGAACTTTCAAGATCGGATTCGTGAATAGTAATCAGAACAAAGCCCATAAGTTGAGATTCTTTCAAAAAACTTCTGACGTTGTTGCAGATTTACTTTGAATAGCTTGAATCTATGGGATACAATGGGTTTGTAGGGGCGGGG